CACAATGCCCTTTCCAACAGCCACAGTAAAATTTTCACTAGGATATAGCAAAGAATTCTTCTTTTCTGACCATTCTTTGTTATATATATATTAGGGTGAGCCAAAAAAACTAACCTATCGGATTTATGGGTTAAAATGAACCTACATACCGAGCAAAAAATTTTCCTGCAAGGAAAAATTTTTTGCTCAATTTTAAAAGGTGTCGGTGAGCATTCTAAGTTTTCCATTGAAATAACACGTAAAAAAATCTTTTTTCATTAAAAAAAATATAACTTTTGAACCGTTTGAGATAAAAAATTTTACGTCGCGGATTCTTGTAGAGCATAAAATTTCCTACAAAATCTATCCCAGAATTATTTTTTTTCAATTTAAAAATTCGTATATTTGAAAGCTTTGAAAAGTGAAAAAAAATCATAATATTTAGTTTTAGTGTTTTTTGACTAAAAATGTTCATTAGGGTGTTTTATTTAAAACGAAAAATTTTTTTTTGCTGACACATGAAAATTTCGGTTTTTAGGTTGAAAAAAAAATTCCCTGAAAATTTGAGCCCTTAATTTTGATTCCTTCCTTTTTAATTTTGTAGTTTTTCTATATAAAAAGCATGTATTTTTAATCATTTTTACTTTAAATTTCTATATTTTGGCCGGGTTTTGAATTATAATTTTTATCATCATAATAAAGGCCCTGCATCAATTTTGTTTTTGATTTATTTACGTTGATTGTAGTAGCTCCAAAAGTCGTTTTTTTCACTTTTTCTCACATATTTTTGAGAAAATCCATCGAATGACTGGTTTTACCCAAAAAGTTCAAATAAAAAAGTTGTAGGAAATTTAATTTTTGACAAAAAAGGTTTTTACGTTCATATCACTAAAGTGCTTTGTTTAAGAGATATAAGCAATTCAATAACCAAAAACAAAGAAAAAATAGGTTTTATTGAAATTTATGTAATTTCATTCAACAACTATATATTGCTTATATCTCTTAAACAAAGCACTTTAGTGATATGAACGTAAAAACCTTTTTAGTCAAAAATTAAATTTTCTACAACTTTTTTATTTGAACTTTTTCGGTAAAACCAGTCATTCGCACGATTTTCTAAAAAATATGAGAAAAAGTGAAAAAACGACTTTTGGAGCTACTACAATCAACGTAAATAAATCAAAAACAAAATTGATGCAGGGCCTTTATTATGATGATAAAAATTATAATTCAAAACCCGGCCAAAATATAGAAATTTAAAGTAAAAATGATTAAAAATACATGCTTTTTATATGGAAAAACTACAAAATTAAAAAGGAAGTACTTAGAATCAAAATTAAGGGCTCAAATTTTCAGGGAATTTTTTTTTCAACCTAAAAACCGAAATTTTCATGTGTCAGCAAGAAAAAAAATTTTTTCGTTTTAAATGAAACACCCTAATGAACATTTTTAGTCAAAAAACACTAAAACTAAATATTATGATTTTTTTCACTTTTCAAAGCTTTCAAATATACGAATTTTTAAATTGAAAAAAAAATAAATCTGGGATAGATTTTGTAGGAAATTTTATGCTCTACAAGAATCCGCAACGTAAAAATTTTTATCTCAAACGGTTCAAAAGTTATATTTTTTTTAATGAAAAAAGATTTTTTTACGTGTTATTTCAATGGAAAACTTAGAATGCTCACCGACACCTTTTAAAATTGAGCAAAAAATTTTTCCTTGCAGGAAAATTTTTTGCTCGGTATGTAGGTTCATTTTAACCCATAAATCCGATAAGTTAGTTTTTTTGGCTCACCCTAATATATATATATATAAATATTATGCAATTCAAAACTTTGAGAGCATAATTTTGCATTGCATAATTTACAATTAATTTTTTTCTTAATGCCTTTCGTAATAAAGCCAGCAACATAGGCTACAGAAAAGACATCTGGGCTGCCAGACGAAACAGCAGCTGCAATATCGTCAGATGTTGCCTCTGAAACTGAGTCCTCAGGAGATTCTATTATGACTTCCTGTTCTTTTGGCTCCCCTCCTTCTTCATCATCATTTAAAAATTGCTTGAGATTCGTCAGCAGCACATTTTCATCTTCTTCACAATTCTTTGCAAAGGCTTTATTTGCCAAGCCATTTAAAATTTGTGTTTTGAAGCTGCCAATAAACTGCTTCACTGTTGGGTTATCATTGCTGCCACAACCATATCTTATTGCTCCAAATAAATTTTCTAACGGATCTTAATTTAAGGACCTTGGTCTTAATAAGGACCAACTCATTCTTTAGGTGATTCCACACTCCTCTGATGGCATTTACAGATGTGAGCCATCCTATTTGCGAAGGAGGTTTTGATGTTTTTATTGCGCCATTTTTAGTAAGCCTTTTAAAAGTCCAGCTTTTTACTTTTTCATAAGCTTCTGTCCAATAATTTAGATGAGGAGAATCATCTGTCACTGCACAGCGACGATCTTTATCCTCCGGTGCTGTTTGTTCGGCCATTGAAACTGTCAAACAGGGTATCAACTTCCTTCACAAAAGTGGCTGTAGCAATTACTCTGAATTCAACAACTCCTGCAAAAAGAAATAAAGTTAAATAATGAAGTTTTAAAAATTGGAGAAAAAAAATACCTGAACTTATCAAGGAGTATAGAAAGGCTCCAACAGTATGACTTAACATTTGAGCTGCTACAGATACTTTCATGGCATATCTCATAATGGGTTTGAGATGTGTTTCCTTTATTTTATGCATAGTTCTAAATATAAGAGGAATATTTTTATCTATCTCATGTGCTCTGACTATATCACTAAATCGGGCTTCCATTATTGATTGAGACCCATCACTGGAAGTTATTGGTTTCCTGAACAATGAATAGAAGCATTTAAGGAGGTGAGGTGGATCATACATGGCAAATACTTGTTCATTTTTAAAGGAAAAGGAAGGCCTTTCAATTGTAACACCTAATTCCTTTAGACATTTTACATTGGATACCACATCAACATCTACCTTAGCATAATGTTTTGCTGCATAGAGCACTTTAAATAAGCATTCCTTCAGAGTTGTGGATAAAATGCTACTGGTTGATTCCAGTTGTGGCAAAGTCCCACTAGCAAAAACACCAAGGCTTTGTTTGCAGGTTTCATTGTCCTTCCAGATTTGACTCCACCTCCAAAATCTTCAAAACCAAAAATCCTATCTACACCCACATGATGTGCATGCACATTTTCCTGGATATCAATTTCATCAAAAAGAAGCGCGCAACTTCTATCAATGCCTTGGGCGAGGCTATCGTTGATATTTTTGAAGATGTGCACATTAATGCCTGAAATGGCACCCTTTTGAGTAAAGATAGTATGGTTGTTTTATTTGGAAGGGCAACGAATTTTCTTAGCAAATTGTAGCACCTGGGACTTCTTTTAAAGATACAAAGAGCAAGAATTTTGTTATTCAGGGTTCATCTTCTGCCTTTAGAGCCTTTGACCTTAAAGTTTCTTATTTGTGAAATTTGAGGTCACTGACGAAATCCCTTGAAAAAGATTTTGCACCACTTTGGAATCTGACAGATTGGTCAATGCTTTAATGTCATTTGCCCTATTTTTGCATAGCTTTTTTATCTTCCTTAAATGGGCTTCTCTATTGTGGATGATTTTAATTAATTTTTTTTTTCTTGGTGTGGAATCCTTTACTGACAAATTGTCAATGTTTCTAAATGTTCTGGATCTTGTCCTGCGTGGATTGCTGTGAGTCTGGGGTGGAGTTGATGGATCTGAACTATAGGCAGGCAACATTGCTAAGGATTCCTCTTGGACTCCCTCTAGATTCTCTGAAATAAAATAAATATTATTATAAAATGCATTATGTAACAAAATTCTCATTACGTAGTTGGGACATTGAGTTTGAGACACCTTGTATAATTATTATGTAGTAAGTTAAATTTTAAATAAAAGATATATGTATATGCCACTGAATTTTGTTGTGGGCTTTAGTTTAGACTTTTAGTTTAAGACATCCTGTACATAATAGTTTTAGTGAGTTAAATTTTGTACAAAATATACCTATATATCGTCGCTGTTCTGACAAAGAGGCGTAAGGGACATTTTTTCCATATTGGAGTTAAGTTCACTAAGTGATTTTTTACGGTTGAATCTATGATCTGACAAAAGGAAATACATACATATATACATAATGTATGTATGTATGTATGTATGTATTTCCTTTTGTCAGATCATAGATTCAACCGTAAAAAATCACTTAGTGAACTTAACTCCAATATGGAAAAAATGTCCCTTACGCCTCTTTGTCAGAACAGCGACGATATGTACCCCATAGATTTTAAAATTGTAATTATCTTTCCAATAAAGCCAAAATTTAAGAAGCCACTATTGTTAGAGCTTTTATAGTAAACAACAACTGTGTGCAAGCTTAACTGCATTTTTGAACCCCGAAAGTGGGCCGACTGAACTTCTTCCGCATACTTGCATCCGTAATTTTCGGAAAAATCCATATGAATCAAAGCTTCATTATTATTCAGATTTTCCTTAATTTTCTGAATTTCTCTCATCTGGTGTTCTAAATTTTTTATATGTAAAAGAAATGGCTTCATTAAGCCAATGAACGCTTCATAAACCTCCGCCTTAGTAGACATAAGCTTCTCCTTAACAGTTTTTGTACACAGCTTCTCTTTTCCTTTCACTACTATTGTGACTCGTTTTGTAACCCATTTCTCATACACCATGGTGTCCGCTCCATCAAAATCAACTGTAACTATGGTTTTTCTTTACAATTTTCGCATTTTCTTTCTAAACATGTTTCTTTTAATACTTCCCTTCACAACAAATAGTTTTACATACTTCTTCTGGTGAATTTTCTTTTATTATATTTGCTATCTTTAACCTTCTAACAAGCAACCACATATTCGTATGAATTAAACAAAGGCAGGTATTTCGTTCATCTATTTTAGGCTGTACAATCCAGAAAGGCCGTAATCGGCAGAAGGTTGTGTAGCTAATCAGAAATTTATTTTCTTTCATAAATTTTCTGTGTAAATTCTTGTAACATAATCGTTTTTGCGAGGGCAGAGTCTACTGTACTCATCTTTTTCAAGAAAATTTATTACTTGTTGCCCGATGAATTCCTGATTTATTAATCTGGTTCTAGATTTATTATTTTCGTAAGTGACGACAGATGTGGTTTTCTTTAAATAACTTTTTTGTTTATACTTTTTGATAACATAGCCGGAAATGCTTTTCCAAAATATTCTTTTTTGTGCAGGTTTTGTTAGAACACGATAATTTTCTGTTAACTGTTTCTCTATAACTTCGGAAAATAATAGTTTTTTCTTAACAGCCGGAGAAACGATTTGTCCTTCAATTAGTGCTTCCACTTTTTTTCTAAGCGAATGTATGTTTTTACACAGCTTATTTTTTACTCTTTTCAATCCCATTCTGTATTTTTCCTCCTATCTTTTCTCTTTCTTCAGTTTTCTTTTAACATACTTATTTCTCTATTTAGAGCCTTTCTATGTTTTCTTCTTCGTAGCCTGCCTTGTCTTTTTCTTCCATCATTTCTTGCTTGAAGTCTTTCGTCATATGGGTCAGCTATAAATTCTTCTTGGATTGGCGAGGGGGGTGGTGTGTCTTCTTGTAGTCTAATTTCGAGCTGTCTTGTATTTTTTTTCTGTCATATTGAAGTTTACTTCTATTCCCAATCTTTTCTTTGATTTAGTTTTTCTCTGTCTGTCATTTGTTCAATTGTTTTAATTTTTCCTGCTTCTTTCCTCTGGTAATATCGCTCTCGTTCTTTACGCTTCTCTTCCTCATATGTCACTGGATCTAGTCGCCTAGATTCACGTAGCCTTCTCATTGCTTCGCGCTGCCTTCTTTTCTGTTCTTTGTGATTTGCCTTCTTATTTTTATTGCTTTTTTCTTTGGAGCGAGCCATATCCTAAAAAATAATGATAATTAATATTTTAATTTAGAGAACTTTTACAATTTATCACCTCCGTGAAATAAGGTTCACCCCCCGTGAACTGCTAGCTGGAAGTGAGGAATTACGTTATTTTTATTTAATAACTTTTTGTCAAAATGCCTGAATGAATAATTTTTTAAACAAGTTAACTGGGGATAAAATGTCACCTATTAACACAAAAATTACGTAGTTTTTTTAGTTACTTACCAAAAAATTTCAATTCACGGATGTGAGAACAACAAGGGTCCACGTGGGTGCACAAAACTATAATTTAAAAAATACGTCTGTTCACCTTAAATCATTAAAACCAATTGATCGAAGGGGTCGCGACACGCTATAAAGTTAGTTTTAAAAATCACTCCACAAACTAAAATATTTCGCTATCTATGAGTCGAAAGCTACACCAAAGCATACTTCACGGAGGTGATATTTAGATTTCGGAACAGTATTTAAGGCATAAACTAGTAAATTTTATGAATTTTTAAAAGAAAATTCTATTAATATTTTCATTACAAATAATTTTTGTGGACATGTCGGAAAAAATTTTCATAATTTTTAACTTTTGTGGTAGATTTAATGTAGTCTAAAACCGGCGATGGTAAAAAAGAACAGTCACGGAGGTGAGGTTCTCAGATATTTTTTGATAATAAAAAAATGCAAAAATTTTGAACGCATCGTTTTTAATAGTTATAAATAATCATTGGCTTTTAAAGGGTGAACCTTATATCAACAGATTGATTTGTCATTTTTTACATCATTTTTTAAACATGTACATACACTGAAAAAAAAAATTCTTGATTCAAAACAATCTTTGTCTCATATATAACGAAGAGAATATATTCTTTAAAATAGTAAAGTATTTTCTTAATTCACGTTGATTTACTTCAAGAATCTTTTCTTAATGTAAGAACATGTAAGAACATTAAGAAAATATTCTTGAAGTAAATCAACGTGAATTAAGAAAATACTTTACTATTTTAAAGAATATATTCTCTTCGTTATATATGAGACAAATATTGTTTTGAATCAAGAATATTTTTTTTCAGTGTAAGATTTTCATCTTTCATGAGAACCACCCAGGTACTAGTTTTTTGTTCAAGTCTCACCGTCAAAATTTAATGTAAATTGTCTTCTAAGCTTTTCTAGATATTTAGGTACCTACTAGTGAACTTACCACAACTTGGACAATGCTGTTTGACAGATACTTGACTGGCCTTTCTGGGCTCCACTAATTCTATTTGGTCTGAACCATCAGATAAATCCCTCTCGTCAAAAAGCGTACCATTTTGAAAATCTACATTATTAGCAGTATAAAATGTTGATAAATCTAAAAATAATTGTTTAATGCTTTCAATAACCACTTACCTTTGTGGGATTTGTGATATCTAGAGTTTTTCATCTGAAAATAATTACAAGGCGTTTTAGTGATTTCTTTGTCAAAGTTTTGCGGGTGGGATCCTATAAAAAAAGCTTATAGTATGTTGTATTGTCACCTCTGTCACTTGTTTCAAATACGTGATGAGAACTTTCTTTCTTTTTCTTGCATTTTCCAAAACATTAACTGGCGTTAAATCCACTAAAAAAAGTTACATAAATTTAAATATAAATAATGTGTTTTGTTTGTAAATAAGAAAATAAATTTTATTGTTGGATCTTACTGATATATGCTAGTTTTTATTTCTGAACATAATTAGTTACCTTGCCGCAAGGTTCGGAGAAGGCATGAGAGTTTTTATACTGTCGAAATTTTTATTTAAAGACCCGGAACCTAATAAAAGTGTAAAATATTTAAGTGGAAAAATTTATTTGATGAAAAGTACCTTTATTTCTCTGAAGAAGTAAAGTCTCTGGCTCGGTAGGCTCCCTCCCTTGCAGGTCTTTCTTATCTGAAATAGGTATTTATATTTACCAAAGTTATTTAATTGAGTTAATACTTACTTTTATTTTTGGGAGGATGGCACTTATTTTTGGAAACCCTACAATTTTCTTTATTAACATCTAAAATAAAGGATTTTTAGTTACTAGTTGATATTAGTCTTAAAATTTAAAAAGCTACTCTCTTAAAAATAGGTTGGTTATGAGAACTAATTTTTAGTGCTTATAACTTATTTTCTTAGTCAAAATAGTCCCTACTGACAAATTAGTTCTGTGAACTAATTAAAAATTTCGAACTTCATTAGTTGCTTTAAAACAAAAAAATTAATAGAGAGAGCTAATAAAACAGGGTAGGAATGACTAACAAAATGTTTTATATTCCTTAAAATAAATCACATATATAGCATACCAATTTAGTTACTGCAACTCAATAATTCTTGCAATTATGAACAATTTTAGTAAACCTAATCTACAAAATTGTCATGACAACTAGCATAAATCGTTTCAATAGCTCATAGATTTATGAAACGTAAATGAAAAAAGTTGAGGAAGATCAACCACTATAGTGACTTATAAGTTAAGATAAAAATGTAATACTTACTACAAATAAAACTACTTCTTACAATTAAAATAGAAAGTTCTTGCGAGAATTTAATGTATTTTATCTCTAAAAATGTAAGTGTAATTTTTACATTATTAATAACTGCACGTAAAAAATAAATATTTAAATAAATTTTATTTAAAAAGTCTAAAACTAAACATAAATACTTACAGCAGTTTAAGTTTAAAACAGTTAAGTCTTTACTCTAATAATTATCATAACATTACTAATGACTACAATAATTATCACATTTTTAATGACTATAATATATTATTATTGAGCATTTCCACGCGTAACGTACGGACATTCGGACGCGTTTTATCATATAAATGTTTAAATTACTATTACTTATTTAAGTTTAACACAAAAACGCTTGACGCCATCTGAAAGAGCAGTAAATTTCCCATGAAATAGGCTTATGTGAGCAGTAAAAATACTTTTTCAAAAGAAAATGCAAGTACCAGTATAAAAAGCGTAACGTACGGACACCGAAGACACCCATTTTGTATCCCCTCTGTTAACGTTTGGGACTCTGCGAATTCAAATCAAATTTTCTTGCTTTATACGTGGTTTTGGATTGCCCAAAGAACTGAGATCACGATACTATTTGCGACTAAGGATTTGATTTTTTCGTTTCTTCATTATTTGCGGAAATTATCCAAAATAAAAACGTTACGTACGGACAAGGTCTCGTAACGTACGGACATACACATTTAATACACATTATAATCACGGTATTTAAAAACACAAAATCATATTCGTACCCGTTAGTTAGATTCAATTGTTGGGGAACATATGAAAAAGAAGAGAACACGTTTAAATAAATGTATTTTTTTACATTTTTTATTAATTACATGTTTTGAACGTTTAAACTAGTATTGCTGAATAATACTCATAATTAACGATACAAATTGTTACAACTTATCAATATGAATGTAAAAACGAAGCGATTTCTAAAATAAACTAAAATTACTGAAAACGAAAAAAAAAGTACACAAAATATGCATACACGCGAACTTCATTACTTCATGCGGACTGCGATGCGCCTGTCTTTATGCACATTAGATTCTTCGGCAACGCTGATCCAGTAAGGAGCGAGGGAAAACACAGCATGAATTCTGTGCGTTCTTGGGACTGTCGCAAGATCTTTCCAGTGTTCTTCGAGATCTGCGGAATTAACATCAATGTCTGCTTTGCTCAGAAACTCAACGTGAATCTTAGGGCATGCTTCTTGAGCTATAGATGTGAATTCTTCAGCAGTATTTACCACAGCTCCGCTTTTTGCTCGCCTCCACACCGAACCTTTTATTGTTCCTCCAATGGCATCAACCACCCCTTTTCCGTGACCTGATGCGAAAAAGTGCCAAGATAGCTTAATGCCGTAGCGCGCTTCAAAAACATGCAGGTTCGAAAAAAGGTACTTTTGCTTGAATTGGCTAGCGGCTCCGTCTGAAAATATTTTTACTTCAGCCACTTCATCGTAATTTTCGGTAATTAGTTCAAGTAGCCGTTCGATGAATTTATAAACGCTGATTTTTCCATGCGTCAATTCGTCCGAAACTAACGCGAAACTCTGCGCTTCCTTAGCGGACATCCAAGCATAGGCAGTAAAAACTGTGCATTGCTGGTGACACCAATGCGCATTTTGTATTTCATTTTGTTGTTTTAAAGCGTAATTCTCAGCAAAGTCAACTTGCAGTGCAATTTGTTTTCCATCGACGCTGGCAATGGTGTCTTCAAAAAATTTTGCTTGCGCTCGCTTTACATACGAGTGTTCCAGAAAATAACGTAGCTGATCCTTTAGATGTTGAAAACATTGTTGCAAATCCCAATCCATTATTTTTTTCTGAAGTGGTTGGCTTATCCATTGCTCGCAACTTGGTGAAATCACAGAAGCGTTAATAACGAAATTTCGGGGATTGAGTTCATCGATCTTGTCACGACACTGGTCGCATTTGTTGGTCATACAATCTTTTTTACTCTGATCGCAGGTGACAAGT